GTTGTCAAATCTATTACCTCAGCTCCACAAGGTCGGAGATAGCTTCTGCTGGGAGACTGATCATCGTCTGCAACTATAGCTGTCGATTGTTCCCTTGCAGGTCGGCCCAAATGAACACTCATGTCATCAGAAAATCCGCACAAACCTATATCTTTAGTTACTTCTGTGTCAAATGAGGTAGTGACACTTGAAGATGGCGTTCTCACTGGCGATGCCATAAAACCAAATTGCTCTGTGCAATCCTCTCCTACTACTTCACTGCATCCATACGCTTCATTAATTATCTTGCCAGTATCATCCTGCTGATCATCTGCTGACCTTGGAATTATAAGATCTGATAATGTTTCTTCCTGTCATGTACCATCTTTCATAGCTTCATCACATTCTTTTCCATTATACCACTCATCTTCTCCTAATTCTTTACTGCATCCATATATTTCATTCATTCTAATGCCACTATCACTCTGCTGATCAGCTGCTGAATTATGAGTCCTGAAGTCCAATAATGTTTCTTCGGGTAGTGTACTGGAATTCATATCTTCATCACATTCCCTTTCATGACGCCACTCATCTTCATTTTCCAAAAGGTCATCAGATAGTTTAGTACAGGAAGCAAGCTCATCCATGGAGCAGACTTTGACCTTCATCTGCTCCGGAAGGGGTGGACAACCAGCAGAATGTTTGGTGTACTGGGTTGAAAAGAAGTTTACAGTGATGTTCAAGCTGATGATACATAGAAACAATATCACTTTCCATCAATAACAGCAAAAGCTTATGTATATTCATCCATTCACAAGGAAGATAATAAGACGATACGTCTGCCAAGGAGGGAGAGTGAGCATGGTGTATGCAAGTTTGATCTTACGGACAAGCCCTCCCAGTGATTTAAAGCTTGCAGCAGCCTGCCTAACCGCCTTCGATACAGTTGGGTGCTGCCAGGCCCATTCAAACTGCAAAGTTCCAAAGGGAACATTAGAAAGAAGGTCCCAAATTTCCAATTAATATCAATCCTAAAATAATAATAAAAAACCTTCAATCCCAATTAGTCAAATCTTAATCAGGCCCAAATTGATC